GGACACCCCGGGAGAGGGGCTGCGGATAGACAGCGGGCGGGACGGACAGATTCTATGTTTGTGCCTGGGAGCATCAGTGTGAGCCTGTGCACGACCCCCTCTGCGTGTGTGTGCGCGTGCGGGTGTGTATGTGCGGGTGTGTGTGCGTATACGTTGCTTTTCATGTTTGCTTCTAACATTTATTTCCTCCTTTGAGTGTGTGTATGTGTGTGTGTGTGTGTGTGTGTGTGTGAGTTTGTGCGGGTGGCCCTGCAGGAGACCCTCTGGACACTAGAAATAGCAAGACTGACCCTCGGTGGCTTTTGTGATGTGAGGAATCAGCCAAGCCTCGCTGAGAAGGACAAGGGGCATTTTATTTATTTATTTATTTTTTGCACAGCCTTTCCCACTCCAAGTGTGAGTCCCTGGGCAGCAGGGAGTCTCAGAGCTCTGTTTGTCTACCTCCAGGGACGGGGTGCTCACTACCTAACCAAACCTCCTGGCCGACCTTTAAGATAGATCTGCCTTTTAAAGGGGAAATTCACCCACATTGGGAGGGGAATCCCGATGCCCCTGACCACCCAGGACCTGCGCCCCGCTCCTTGGCGCCCACCTCTCCTCTCCTGCCTCCCTGTCTCAGGCTGACCTCCCCCTGTGCTCCTTCCTGTGATGGGGCCAACACCTGTTTCTGCCCAGCACCAGTGACCCCTCTGATGGGAGATCCATCGATCACCTGTCAGGCCTCAGCCCCCTTGGTCTTTCAGGGACGTATGACCTTGATGACTTCTCTCTCCTTTCTTTCTTGATTTTTAAAAATATATTTTTATTGATTTCAGAGAGGAAGGGAGAGGGAGAGAGAGAAACATCAATGATGAGAGAGAATCGACTGGCTGCCTCCTGCACGCCCCCTACTGGGGACCGAGCCCGCAACCCAGGCATGCGCTCTTGACCAGAATCGAACCCAGGACCCTTCAGTCCGCAGGCCGATGCTCTATCCACTGAGCCAAACCAGCCAGGGCTCTTCTGTAAACCCTCCCCTTAGTTCCCAGCCTGTCCCCTGCCTCTGCCCGCCCCCCCAAAACACACACAAGCCTCTGGATGTTGTTTCTCAGCCTTCTTCCAGACCCCTCCATTCTCCCACACCCCCAACAGCGGGTTCCCCACGCCCCATCCATCTTCTTTCTTTACCCTCTCACCTCCCCGGGTTCGGCTGTGTGTCTACGTGTCTACAATATTGACGTCTATGCACAAGCCAGATCCCGCTCCTCCAAGGCAGCGCCTGCTGCGCGCCTGAGCCCTGGGCTGGGCACCAGAGGCAAAAGGTGTGACCATGGTCCATCCGCTACGCTAGTGAGCAAGGCCAAGGCCTCCATGTGGGCACCGCCACACCTGCCGGCCGCGCCTTCCCCGAGTGCGTCTTCCTGCATTCCCCAGCAGCGATGGCACCTCTGTGCCTCCTGACACTCAAAGCAAACAGAAAGCTGTTGGGGGCACCTTCCCTCACCCATCTGAGCATCCACCTGTCCCAGGGGCAATGCTGAGTCGTTCCCGTAATCCTCCCTCCTTCACGGCAGCTGCTGCTATCGTCCGGGGTGTACGGATTGGACACTGAGGCTCAGAACAGTTATATACGGAACCCAGGTTCACAAGGCTAGGAAAGGCCAGGGCTGGGGCTCTCACTGCACTTTTTCCCACTTGACCTAAAATGTAAATTAAATAAATAATACAGCCCTAACCCGTTTGGCTCAGTGGATAGAGCGTCGGCCTGCGGACTGAAGGGTCCCAGGTTCGATTCCGGTCAAGGGCATATACCTTGGTTGCGGGCACATCCCCAGTGGGGGGTGTGCAGGCGGCAGGTGATTGATGTTTCTCTCTCATGGATGTTTCTAGCTCTCTATCCCTTTCCCTTCCTCTCTGTAAGAAAATCAATAAAATATAGTAAATAAATAAATAAATAATACAAATAAAGGTGGGAAGGGACAAGGAAGGGACAACATGGCAAAAAGTCCACGGTTGGTCAGAAGGCCCAGCCTCTCCTCACTTCAACATTCTCGCCTTGCACTCTCCTTTTTTTTGTTTAATCCTCACCAGAGGATATTTGTTCCCATTGATCTTTAGAGAGAGTGGAAGGGAGGGAGGAGAGAGAGAGAGAGAGAGACATCAATGTGAAAGAGACACATTGATTGGTTGCCTCCTGCACGCACCCCGACCAGGCCCAGGGATTGAACCTGCAACCCTACATGCCCTTGACTGGGAATTGAACCTGTGACCCTTCAGTGCATGGGCCAACACTCTAACCACTGAGCAACACTGGCCAGGGCACACCTCATACTCTTGAGGAGGTGTCAACAAGAGTTTATCTTCTGGGACTACATTTGTACTAGTTTTCATAGCGGCCCTGGCACCTGACCTCGTGGAGGGACGGTGCAGGGCACTCAGCTGAGTCTCACTTGCATTCTTGGATGACAAAGCCCATTCTGGTGAAGAAACCACAATGTCACAACTTCGCCTCAGTGGCCAAATCCGGAGTGCCTCCTGGGTCCTCTCCATGGCAACCACCGTGGGTCAGTCTAGGCCAGGGGTCCTCAAACTACGGCCCGCGGGCCACATGCAAATACAAATATTGTATTTGTTCCCGTTTTGGTTTTTTACTTCAAAATAAGATATGTGCGGTGTGCATAGGAATTTGTTCATAGTTTTTTTTTTAAACTATAGTCCGGCCCTCCAACGGTCTGAGGGACAGTGCACTGGCCCCCTGTTTAAAAAGTTTGAGGACCCCTGGCCTAGGCCCTCATCTGCTCTCCCCTGGGCCTGAGGGAAAGCTTTCTCTCTGGTCTTCCCACCTGCGGACTCTTTCCTTCACATCATACTTCATCCCCGCTGCTAGCGTGACGTCCCCAAACCAATGTGATAATATCCACCCCCTGCACCCCCACCGCCCCCTGTTACACTCAGTAGCTTCTCTGGCCTTTGAAATCACACCACCATCACCTCGCCTCTCCCACTACTTCCTTCCCTGTGCCACAAACCCAAGGCCTTAACCACACAAAGGGCCCCAGATCCCAAATACCTCGAAGTCTGTCATTGTGTCATTTCCTCTGGTTGGTACCTGCTTCATCCCTTCTCTGATGGTCACTTGCAAAGCCCAGTTCAAGCCTCTCCCAGCAGTCCAGGCTGACAATGTTACGAGGTGGGGGCTGAGGCTGCTTCCCCACTAGACCAGCCTGGGCCTGACTTGTGCCTGCGTCTCCCCAACAACCAACACAGGGTCAGGCACAAAGTACATGTTCACTAAAAATCTAGGTGGCTGAGTGCGTGGATGCCACATTCCCTCACACCTTTACCCAGGCATGCAGACAAGGAGAATAGCTCCATGAAGACAGGCATTTCCATTTGTTTTGTTCATTGCTGGCTTTCCAGTGGCACTAAAGCACTTGGCACATAGTAGATCTATACTAATAAAAGGGTAATATGCTAATTAGACCAGACATCTTCCGGACGACCTTCCGGACATCCTTCCAGACCAAGCCCCAGTGGTAGGGCTGAGGCAGAGGCAGTTAGGGGGCAATCAGGCTGGCAGGCAGAGATGGTTAGGGGTGATCAGGCCTGCAGGCAGAGGCAGTTGGGGGTGATCAGGCCGGCAGGCAGAGGTGGTTAGGGACGATCAGGCAGGCAGGCAGGGGAGCAGTTAGGAGCCAATGGTTCCGGAT